TATAGATTACTGAATGCTTTATAGATTACTGAATGCTTTATAGATTAGCGGGCTAGGGTTGATATTCTACACCTCCGAGCTCTTATTTCAACAACCCTAGCAGATAAGCTACATACTTTGTGTTTAGCTAAAACTGTTTACATTTTTATTTACATCAGTTCGACAGCCCTGCAGTACATGCACACATGTGTTCGTTCACATCAGTTATTAATATTTTGTTATTTTTATTATTAATTAGTGAAATACGTTGTCTATGCCTGCAAAATGAACATTACATACATCTCCTCCTACATGTCTCTGCGTGAGTGCAGCTACAGCGTGCGCTCTCAGGACATCATTACCTGCAGTGTTCCCTCAATGAGGACTGAACTAGGCAAAAGGGCCTTCTCCTACTCCGCTCCTGTTTCCTGGAATATTTAACAAAAAGATCTGAAGCTCTCGACCTTTGACCTCTCTAAGTGGCTTTAAGAATCTGTTGGACTCCTGGCAAGGACCAATGCTGACATGTTCCTGTTGTTAGTTTTCTACATTTGTCTTGGAATCTAGCTGTTTTTTTGTTTTGTTACCTTTTCCTTTTAGCCATCCTATTTGTTAAAAAAAAACAAAAAAACTGTAGTATGCTTTTTTTAATAACTGTTTATTGTTGTTGCTGTTGTCCATTGTTGTCATCTTTCTTTGTTGAAATCAGGTCTCTCTTGTAAATGAGTCCTCGAGGCTCAATGGGATTTACCTGTAGAAATAAAGGTTGATTGATTGATTATCAATCCTCCACGACGCGGTGTGGTGCAGTGACACTCCGCGCCTGGAGGGGCAGCAGAGGACAAACACAGGAGCCAAACCACAGCATGTAAACTGATGCAGTGTTAGCGAGGTCTGCTAACTTACAGCAATTTGACTTGAACTTCGTCTTAAAATGAAATTGGTGAGTACTTAGCAACAATTAATATATATTAGCGGATATAATAGAAAGTCTGGAAGCGTTTAAACGTTTAAGAAAAACGAGCTGGCAGCTAAAACAAGCAGCGTTTTGAAGTCAGTGAAGCAGGACTGAAGTTCGAGTTGTGTTTATCTGTCATTTGCAGGTTAACACAGGGTTAACAGCAAAATGAAATGCTGAGGGTGAGAAGAACCGATTTGACTCGCTAAAAATAAAAAACCAACAAGAAATACTAAACGCATGCAATACGGGTACCCAAAATAAAAGTATCGAAAAGTGAAAAGGTAATTATAATATTCACAACGTCCTAAAGAGAGATCTTGAACAACAACATGGTAGAATATATTGGTGCAAGCAGGATTAATTTGAATGAATAAGTATTTCAAGGTAGTGTGATCTGTGTGAGAACTGTGAACGAAACCTGACAAACATTTTGGTGAAAGGAAAAGAAATTATATTTATTTCCTGTTGTTCGCTAACAGAGTAACCCTTGTTCTATTTCATACAGGCTTCGCCCTTTAAGAGCTGTCGCTTAGTGGGTTTTATCCCGTCATGCAAACATCGCACTGAAAAGTTTAGTCCACGCCCACGGTCCGTATAAATTACGTTAAGAGCGGCTCCCATTTTTCTTCAGCAAACGACTAGCACTGACCTTCAACAACGAGATGTCCAGCACCAACACCATCCGCCTGTGTCCGTCCTGCAAGACCTGCTACTTGCTGAGTTTTGACTGGCACAATATCTGCGAAGGATGCCTGGGTCCCCGCCACGTCGCCCACGCCTCCTCCTGCCACCTCTGTGCCCTCCTTCCTCTGGAGGAAAGGCAGAGGAGAGCAGCCTTGTTCAAGGCTAACGTCGAGGACTGCCTCTCCGTGGCAGGAGACTGTTCCCTGGATGATGCAATTGACTTTTTTGACGCCGGCTCTCGGATGGTTCCTCTGGGACAGGCGACGTCAGCAGCAGCCCCGATGCTCACTCCCTCCCGGAGAGCGTAGTGTCGGAACGAGGGGGGCCGAGCGGATGCTCACTTCCCCCCTTCCCGCCTCAACAACCACATCACTCCCTGCCGTCGGTGCCCTCCTCTCGGAGCTGCCCGGCATTCTCCGGGAGGCTGCTGACACGAAGGGACTTTCCGTCCCTTTCATCCCCCCACCCAGATCGGATGATCTAGCGGGTAGGTTTGGCTCCACCCCGGCTCGCCGCTATGATAACATCTGGCCTCGTTTTCCAGCAGTGGCGTCCTACTGGAACGAGGCTGCAGCCGGTCCTGGTAAATTGAGAGCGCCCATCTCCAGAGTGGAGGGGTTCACCGAGCTGAACTTTCCCTCGGCCCAGTCGATTGTTAATCTGGGAGTGGAGCTAAACTCGACCACCATGAGGGCTCATTTATCACAGACTAGAATCGATGCTCTAAGAGTCCAGCTCCACCACGTCAGACCGGGCAGAGTAGTAACAGCTATTTCCGTCACGAAAATGTTAGGAACGATGTCGTCAGCTCACACAGTGGTTCCGCTGGGCTTACTCCACATGCGACGCCTCCAGAGATGTTTTGCTCGTCTGTGCATGGATCCGGTAAAGCAGAAGAGACGGATGATCACTGTTTCTCCCTCCATGAGAACAGACCTCCGATACTGGGAAAACTCCCTGGTTCTGTCGGAGGGAGTCCCCGTCAGCAGACCTACATCACACGTGTCAGTCTTCACAGACGCTTCGCTGTCAGGTTGGTGGGGGACATGCCTATCTCGAGCTGTAGGGGCGCTGTGGCCCCATCACACAACAGCACATATAAAGGTTCTGGAATGTCACACGGTTCTGAACGTGATTCAACACTTCGCTCCTGTGCTGCAGAATCAACATGTTTTGATTCACACAGACGGGTTGACAGCTGCTTACATAAACATGCAGGGGTGTGTGCACTCAGCAAAAATGTTACACATTGCGAGAAAACTACTGTATTGGGCTCTCCAAAATCTGCCCTCCATCAGAGCAATGTACATCCCCGGTGTTCTGAACAAAGGGGCAGATGTGATGTCCAGGGGCGGTCCGCGTCACATGGACTGGACCCTCCATCCAGATCTGATGGCTCAGACGTGGCAGAAATTTGGTAAAGCGGCTGTGGACCTGTTTGCAACACGAGAAAATGCTCAGTGTCAACTATGGTTTTCACTGAGCCCGCGAGACGAACCACCGCTGGGGTGGACGTATTTGCTCACAGCCCATGTCCCAAAACGCTTCTTTACGCGTTCCCCCTTCCTCCTCTGATATTACGGTTTCTGAACAGAGTTCAGGAGGAGGGATTGACAGCTCTCCTGGTGGCTCCCGAGCGCGTGAACACACCATGGTTCCTGGTTCTACGACGCCTGTTATCGGGGCGCCCGTGGAAACTGCCGTGGAGGGAGGATGCTCTCCTCCAGGCGGGAGGAGCGATCAGGAGTTACCCAGAAATAGGCCAGCACCTTTGAGTCTGGCCGCTGAACGGTTCTGCTTAGAGAGGATGGGTCTCTTTCAAGATGTAGTGCGCACAATCCAGGATTCACGTGCTACATCCACCACAGCGCTATACACATCAAAGTGGACAGCTTTTCAGCGCTGGTGTACAGAGAAAGGTGTAGAGGCCACTTCATGTCCACTAGGTGGCATGCTGTCCTTTCTGCAGCAGCTGATGGACAGGAAGTTGGCATTCAGCACGATTTAAAACGTACACTGCAGCCATCTCTTCCTGCCACAAAGTTTTTCGGGGACAGAACAGCTTTTAATCATCCACTGATGAAGCGTTTTTTTAAAAGGTGTATAGAGACGCAGACCTGTTTCACGCCCACTTGTTTCACAGTGGGATTTAACGCTGGTCCTGCGAGCCATGATCAAAGCTCTATTTGAGCCATTGAATCAGGTTTCAATTAAATTCTTGTCTCTTAAAACAGCCCTGCTGCTGGTTTTAACATCCGCTAAGAGGATGAATGATTTATCTGCCCTCTCTGTCGCTCCGTCATGTCTCAGAGTTCAGGCAGATGGCAGCTCAGCTGATTTAAGACCAAATCCAGCTTTTATGCCTAAAAACATCACAGGCTCTTTTAAATCGAGCGCGATATCGTTGGAGGGTCTCCCCCCCCTCACACACACACAAATCAGAAGAAGCATCTTTCCATGTTTTCTGTCCGGTGCGGGCGTTGACGTGTTACATAGCGTGCACAGCTGCAATGCGTCAAACTCAACATTTGTTTGTACATTATAGAGATGCATCTGCAGGTCGCCTGTTATCCACCCAGCGCTTGTCACACTGGCTGTGTGAGGCCATTTCTGAAGCCTACAGAGCATCAGATTTAGAGCCTCCTGTCAACCTCAGAGCACACTCGACCAGGGTTATCGCAACTTCGACTGCCTTGCATAATGGTATGACAATGCAGGACATTTGCACTGCGGCCGCGTGGTCAACACCCTGCTCATTTATTCGCTTTTATTTAAGTGATGTGATGGTTCGTTCTATGACACATTCTGTCCTTAGTGTTTTACAGAATGAATATTGTTGTTTCATGGAATCTCATTTAACTCACATCTGACTGCATGCATTACAGTGTGAGATGTTGTTATCAGTCACAAGTTATGACTGTTGTTCTTGTTCTATTGTCACTAATCAGTTCATGTCTATTGTTTCCAATCAGTTCATTTGATTAATAATCAGCTCACTTGTTATTATTAATCTGTTCATATTGTTCAGCCGTGAATCTGTTGGTTTACGGCCTTCTTTTTCGGCATCTTCCTTTCCCCGTTGAAAGTTTCCGGGGCGTTCATGCACTCAGAACGCATAACTACGCAGCATGCGTCTGTGCATGGTACGCATATTTACGCAATGCGTAATTACGTACATGGAGAGCTGAGTGACGAGACGTTTTTTGGACAAGCTGCCGCTTCGTACGGTGTTCGAATGGACCCAGTGAGGCGAGGACAACATCTGCTTCGCCTTTAACCCTCCAGAGACAGCTCTTAAAGGGCGAAGCTTATACGAAATAGAACGTTGGTTACGTACTGTAACCCCAGATTCTATAAGTATAGGCGTAGCCCTTTAAGCGTCGGGCCTCACTGGCTCCTAAATGGCTGAAGAAAAAGCTATTTGGGAGCCGATTATAATTAAATTATACGGACTGGGTGGGGCCCACACAGCAGGTGGGCGTGGACTAAAGTTTTCAGTGCGATGCTTTGCATATCGGGATAAACCCACTAAGCGACAGCTCTTAAAGGACTACGCCTATACTCATAGAATCTGGGGTTACAGTACGTAACCAACGTTTTGCACTAGCTGTACACACACTGAAATCGTTTATTGATTGTATTATTTATTTGCTAGCTTTTGTATTGGGCGCTTATTATTATTATTTTTTAATTCTTTTTTTAACAGTATTGTTTGTCTGGTCACCCTACATTGCCTTGCAATGTCCTAAAGTTTAAGTCCACCACCATCATGTTGGACTGTGGTCTGGACACCACCTCTGTCCTCAACTTCCTGCCCCTTCCTCTGGTGCACAGGTGGAGCATCTTTCTTCAGTCATTAGTTTAAAGCAGATGTTTGGCTTTCTTCTCTAATTTTGTGCTTCTTCAGCCCTAGACTTTCTAAGCTCCCTGGATGGATCTCCAAAGATGGAACAATAAACTTAGAAAAGGTAATTTTCTGTCAAATCAGAACGTCTCTGCCTTTTCCTGCCTCCTCTACTTGTATGTTATTTAGTTTTTTTTGTTTTTTTTTAACACCTGTGCATGTAATGTATACATTCATTGTCATGTAAAGCCATTTTCTCTCTGTTTTTACAGGAGCTGAAGGATTGTGCTGGAAGAGTGTTTGTGGATTCCCAGCCAGAGTTCTGTCTTCCTGAGGTAGGTAATGCGTTATTCTAATTATAAATCTCTTGCTGCCTACGTGGAAGTGTTGCTTCATCTTCATTGTGCTACAGTGTTCAGTAAATTTGTTTTCTAATCCAAGTTATCTTTTACCAGCCTGTATAGATAACAGTTAAAATAATAATAAAAAAAGCTTCTCTTTGTGAAATAAAAACTCAGGTTTGTTTTCTCCTGTCTGTGCCCCTCACAGAGAGAACTGCTGGATCTGTCCACCATTGATGTCATCCTTATCTCCAACTACCACTGCATGATGGCGCTGCCTTACATCACTGAACACACTGGCTTCACAGGGACGGTGTACGCCACGGAGCCCACCCTGCAGATTGGAAGGTCAATTTCTTAAAGCCTTTGAAGACACATTTACTTCTGTTCATATATTGGTATAATAACTATTTTTATTTAAAGAGTTTGAGATCAGACATTGAAATCTTAAGATCTGTGTTCACTAGCTGTCATGAATCCTGCAGTTGTCATTAAAAACTTTAACAGTCAGACACTCAGCTTACCTGCCTCCAGGCTTCTCCGTTTAATGATTGGAGTGTAACTTTACTAAACCATGCAGACATAAAGTGGACCTCAAGGTTTAGTCACTGACACATAATGAAAGTTAATATTTATGTTTCGAAACCCAGAACTGACAGAAACTCACTTCACTGCTCATTTTATGCTCATGACTTCCTGCATCTGATGGTGGCATGCGTCCCTTTTCAGATACAAAACACTTTGATTTTCCATTTGTGAGAGAACTCAAATGCAGCCCCAGTTTAAGTTAATTAGAAATAATATTAAATATAAATACATCTGCTCCGAGCTGAAGAGATGCTGCACTTTAACCTGTAAACTGGAGGAACTGACTGAACTCAGACCAGGGGCCTATAAAACTCCCAACATTATGCTTTTTTGTAGGGGTGCACCGATTTCTTTAATTTTGGGAAATCAGAAATCGGCCGATACATGAGAAACTGATTTTACAATTTTTTTAGTTTTAACAACAATTGTCTGAACTTCATTAATATTTCAGAGCAACTACCTCATCCTCATGGCCTGTTAAAACAAGTTTGTATCATTTCTAGGATATTGTTCAAGAGTATGTTTTCAATCAAATAAGACTGAGACTTGAAGGTGCATTGTGACCTTGTATCACCTGACAGTGTCGCTTGTAGAACAAAATCAGAATCGGCAGGTCAGACTTTTTAGAAATCGGCGATCGGCCAGAAAACTGCAGTCAGTGCACCCCTACTTTTTTGTTATAAGGCACCTTAACAGAGGCTCTTGGTAACGTGTGTTTATTTATATCATATTGAGACTTGACAGCTGGAATGCTCTTTATGTTGAATCTTCCCGTTTTCCCAAGGTCCAAATACAAACACTAGGGTGACCGGGCCTTTTCAGTTGCTGCACCCAGACTGACACCAACTACCTCATGACTTTACACTTCATCACAACTTTTTAAAGATAATATATAAATGCAGTGATCCATCACCTGTCGTGGGGGTTACGTTCCAAGAAGAATGGTTCTGATGGCAGTGGAGCAGGTGGGTGTGGTGAACAGACAGGCAGGAGTCATGACGTTCACCCTTATAAACACTTCATATGCTCCTAAACACTTTGGTGATGAAGATGATGATGAAATGATGAGAAGCGTAGTAACGTACACACAATATAAAAAACGTGTTTATATATAACACCTGTGATACAGAGAAACCGCAAGAAGTGAACCATGATAGGACAAGAGACGGCGGTGTTACGTTGTTATTTAGCAGGCTTTGAATAGCTGGAGGCACTCGGGTATTTTAGTATTTTTCTCTTGTTCTTATTGTCTGATTTAACTTTTGCACTATGAAGCATTCAATTCAATTCAGTTTATTTATATAGCGCCAAGTCACAACAGACGTCGCCTCAGGGCACTGAACAGAAACATCCATATACATAAGTCATTTAATAACGTTATTTATCTGAGGAGCCAGCAGATTGCTTTGAGTCTTCACTTCGTCGCAGTCTCCCTTTCTGAGCGAGCACAAACACAACAGTAAAAATCAAAAACTCCTCATGAGGAAGAAACCTCCAGCAGAATCAGGCTCAGGACAAGCAGCCATCCGCTTCGGCCGGCTGGGCCCGAGAGGACCGGAAGGAGAAATTAACACACAATGACAGGTCCAGGATGGAGGCCATCAGGTTTTCTGTAGGAGCTCACAAAAGCAGGTCTCTCTTGAAAATGAGCTCTCATGACTCAATGAGACTACATGTATAAATAAAGGGTCAATGAAAAAAGACAGAAATCACTTGAAAGAACAGTTATAAATACAAATTATTCATTTATATTTGTAACTGTTCATTTGATGAAATAAGGTCAATTTGTTGTCCAGTAGTCTAAGGTTATAGCAGCATAGGATCAGGAATAGGTCAGAAAACTAATCTGACTAACTATAGGATTTATCAAAGAGGAAAGTCTTAAGCCTAATTTTAAAACTGGATAATGTGTCAGCCTCACGGACAGAAACTGGAAGTTGGTTCCACAAGAGAGGAGCCTGATAACTGAAAGATCTGCCTCCCATTCTGTTTTTGTAAATTCTAGGAACCACAAGTAAACCTTCAGTCTGAGAGTGAAGTGCTCTGTTAGGAAAATATGGAACAATAAGATCTGTAATATAAGATGGAGCCAGGTTGTTGAGAGCTTTGTAGGTTAGAAGTATCAATCATTCAACCTTTTATTTAGACAGGTAAATCCCATTGAGCCTCGAGGACTCATTTACAAGAGAGACCTGATTTCAACAAAGAAAGATGACAACAATGGACAACAGCAACAACAATAAACAGTTATATAAAAAAAAAAAAGCATACTACAGTTTTTTTTTTCTTTTTTTTTTTAACAAATAGGATGGCTAAAAGGAAAAGGTAACAAAACAACAACAACAACAAAAAAACAGCTAGATTCCAAGACAAATGTAGAAAACTAACAACAGGAACATGTCGGCATTGGACCCTGCCAGGAGTCCAACAGATTCTTAAAGACACTTAGAGAGGTCAAGGTCGAGAGCTTCAAATCTTTTTGTAAGATATTCCAGGAAACAGGAGCGGAGTAGGAGAAGGCCCTTTTGCCTACTTCAGTCCTCATTGAGGGAACACTGCAGGTAATAATGTCTTGAGAGCGCACGCTGTAGCTGCACTCACGCAGAGACATGTAGGAGGAGATGTATGAAGGCAGCAGACCAAGAAGTGATTTAAAGATGAAAATATACCAGTGAGAGAGTCTGTGTGAAGTTAATGGTGACCAGTTAACCAGTGAATACTGGGTGCAGTGGTGGGTACGATAATCACAGCCAGTTATGAATCTTAGTGCACCATGATAGACAGCATCCAACATCTGCAGGGTTCTTGTAGGAGCGCTCATGTAAATAATATCACCATAATCAATTGAGGAAAGGAAAGTCACAGATACAAGGCGTTTTCTAGCATTCAGAGTTAGACAGGATCTGTTTCTGAAAAAGAAACCCAGTTTAACTTTCAGTTTCTTTACCAAGTTTTCCACATGGAGCTTAAAAGAGAGATGTGAGTCGACCAAGATACCCAAATATTTATAGGAATCAACAAACTCAATGGGGACACCATTTGAGGATAAAATCAGAGGAAGAACTGCTGGGACCAACTTCCTATTTGAAAAAAGCATCCCTTTGTTTTTTTCAGCATTTAGGACAAGTTTGAGGTGAAACAAATCAGTCTGGATGATGTTAAATGCAGATTTCAAAAGCTGGAAAGCCTTAGCAACAGTTTTAGCTCGACATTAAACAACTGTGTCGTCAGCATAGAAATGTATGGATGCATTAGGGATGTTTTTACCTACATTATGTATGTAGATTGTAAAGAGGGTGGGTCCTAAGACTGAGCCTTGTGGTACACCATTGTTGAATGTTAAATAACTGGAGGAAGTACCATTATGTTGAACACATTGCCTCCGGTCTGAAAGATAGTTAGAGAACCAACCAATGGTGTGATCTGAGAAACCAATTTCTGAGAGTTTATGACACAAGATGTTCTGATCCACAGTGTCAAAAGCTTTAGACAGGTCTAAGAAAAGTGCAGCACAATAATCCTTAGCATCCAGTGCTTCAACAACGTCATTAAGAACCTTCAGAGAAGCAGTGGTTGTGCTGTGTTGTTTCCTGAAACCAGATTGATGTGGAGGTAAGATGTTAAATGAGTCCAGGTAATTTTTGATTTGACAGTTTATCAGTTTTTCTAGAACCTTGGCTAAAATGCAGAGTTTAGAGATTGGTTGATAGTTGTTCAGTGAGGTGGGGTCACCTCCCTCCAGCAAAGGAAGAACAAAGGCTGTTTTCCAAGTGTCTGGGATAGAGTTTTGTCTTATGGAGAGATTGAAGATGTGGGTCACAGGGACTGTGATGATATGAGCAGCCAGCCTTAAGAAATAAGGTGGAAGTTCATCTGGACCTGCAGATTTTTTAGGATCAAGATCTTTTAACAGTTTATTGACCTCACTGACTGAGAATGGAGAAAAAGAGAAGGTGTGATTAACTGAGGATTGACTTGTAGGAGGGATTTGATTTGTAGAAGTTTGGTTATTAAGTGAAGTGGCTGAT